CCGAATGCTGAATGAATGTTGTGTTTTATCGGTTTAGTTTTTTTTTATTATTCACATTTTTTTTTCTTTTGTGTTTTGTCTTACACTCCCTTCCCATTAATTGTAAGCCGCCCTGAGTCCCCTCAGGGAAAAGGGCGGCCTATAAATGTCAATAAAACAAACAAACAAACAAAACAATCTCTCCTGTACTGAAAGCTTCCCCTCCCAAATACCATGCCACCCCCTCCCTGTTTCATGGCAGCTGAAAGCAAGTAGCGAAGCAGAGTCTGACATTCGGCCCTACTTCAGGAAAGGACGTCATCCCTGCAAGAAAAACAAACAAAAAAACCAGGAACAAGACAATGGAGAAATGTATAAGTCAACTTGGGTCAGCGTTTATCGAGGTAGATAGAGTAGAATTTTCGCAAAAGTCTAGGAGCCCTAACATGGGACTTATCAACCCATTCAGCTTGGGAGGGGGGAAAATGTTTCCAGGAGACTAGATATTGAATCTGATTCCTACGTTTCCTGGAGTCCAAAATCTCCTTAATCTCAAAATGTTGCTCTCCTTTAATGAGAAGAGGGGCAGGTGGTGTAGGTAGGGGTGCCCGGAAAGAGGAAGTGTGCTCCAGTTTCAAAAGGTTTACATGAAACACTGGGTAAACACGGTTAAGATGCTTTGGTAGTTCCAATCATACAGAAACAGGATTAATGATCTTCACAATAGGAAATGGACCAACATACTTAGGCCCTAATTCCTTTGACTTCTGGGTGGTTTGGAGAAACTTGGTAGATAAAAACACTCAATCCCCAATTTTGTACTCCCTTTGCTTCACCCTTTTTTTGTTGGCCTGTTTCTTGTGTGCCCGATGAGCAGCTTCCAATGCTTTGCGGGTCATGGGCCAGATTTGTCGGAGCTGGTCACTCCACTCGGAGAGAAACAAAACTTGTGGTTTTTCTCGGGGTAGTTCTGGAATAGGTACAAAGTCCTGTCCAAACACAATCCTAAAAGGTGTGAAACCGGTGCTGCTGTGCACAGAGTTGTTGTATGCCTGTGTGCCAGCATGTGGTAACAAATCAGCCCAATTATCCTGCTGATAATTGATGAAACACCGGAGGTACTGTTCCAAAACAGAATTAGTCCGTTCACAAGCACCATTAGTCTGAGGATAGTGGGCGGAGCTTAGTCCCTGAGCAGAGCCAATTAACTTCAAAAACTCCTTCCAGAAGAGGGAGGTGAACTGGACCCCCCCTATCTGAAATTATGCATTCCGGTACTCCATGTAAATGGTATACATGTGTAATAAACAATTTAGCTAACGATTTAGCTGAAGGGATCTTGGAACAGGGTACAAAATGAACTTGTTTAGAAAACAGGTCTGTGACGACCCAAATCACGGTATTCCCTTGACTCTCTGGTAATTCGATAACGAAGTCCATTGATATCTCCTTCCACGGGGCTTCAGGACAGGCCACACCTTGGAGCAGGCCCTGGGGTTTTCCTGGTGGGTGCTTCACGGCAGCACATATGGGGCAACTGGCCACATAGGACTCAATGTCTCTTTTCAATGAAGGCCACCAAAATTGTCTTTTAAT